ATCAGGCTGTCTGTGTGTGAGTGTGTCAGACTGTGTGTGAGTGTGTTGGGCTGTGTGTGAATGTGTTGGGCTGTGTGTGAGTATGTCGGGCTGTCTGTGCGTGAGTGAGTTGGGCTGTCTGTGTGTGAGTGAGTCAGGCTGTCTGTGCATGAGTGTGTCAGGCTGTCCGTGTGTGAGTGTGTCGGGCTCCGTGTGTGAGTGTGTCGGGCTGTCTGTGTGTGAGTGTGTCGGGCTGTGCATGAGTGTGCCGAGGTGTCCGGGGCAGAGGCCGCCCCGAGACCACCCCGTGGAAACAGCCCGCAGCCTGGGGCGAGCGGGCCTCGTGTGAAGCCAGGAAGCTGGAGCGGGGCTACTGGGGTCCCCGGGAGGCCGGCTTGTGCTGGCCCTGTCCGCACGGTCCGGTCTGCTCCCCGCCAGCTGCTGGGCCTCTTCGTGGCCACCACCGCGTTGCTCACCCGCTTCGGGGCCCACTTTGCCGTCGTCGGCCGTGCGTCTCCACAGGGGAGCCCCTACGAGGCCTTGCACCATTGGGGTGAGTGGGGCTCCGGGCGGCCAATGTTGGGAAGGGCCTTCGGGTGCAAGGCCGCTGGGGACGAGCCCTGGGCTGGGGCGAGGTCCCCCAGCAGAGCCAGGCTGGGGCAGCTGGCGGGGTCTGGGCCGAGAGCCCCGCCTGGGCTCCCAGCTCCAGTGGACAGAGCCTGGGGTTACGCTCCTGCCTGAGTCTGCCACCCACACTGGGTCCCTTGGGGACAGCGTGGCTTTGTCGGGTGGCATCGCACCCTGGCCCTGGAGGGCTGCTCCTGCAGAGAGGGGCCTAGCCCCGGACGAGGCCTTGGGCAGCTCGCAGGGACAGTGCTGTGCTCCAGGGCCTTGGCCGCAGGGGAGAGCACAGGAGACCAAGGGGGTGCGGGCGGGAAAACGGAGGCCCGCGGGGTCTGGGGGCGGCCCCAGCCCCAGGCCTGTGTCCCCAGCCCCCACTTTTTAACTTTCGCTCTGAGCCTCAGCCTCCCTGGAGCAGGAAGCCTGGGTCTGGACTGATAAGATTGCAGTCGCCACTCAGCCACCTGTCACCAAGGCATGGGGTGGGGGTGGGTGGCT